GCGTTCGATGGAAGGAAAAATTACCGATATGTCCAATGAGATTAAGAAAACGAGAGAAGAACAGGTAATATATAGAGAGGAAATAAGAGCGCCGCGAGCAGAAAATGTGAGGTTGCAATAAAATAATATAACAATATGCAAAACCATAATGAATATGCATGATAGATTGGATCGTTTAGAAAACGAAAACAGAAAAAATAATGTCGTGGTACAAGGCCTGCGACTAGATGCTCATAATAAAGAAGAATTAAAAAGCTCGCTATCCAACTTTATGGAAAAAGAATTACAGATAGAAGTCGATACAGAAAGTGCACTCAAGCTAGGAAACAAAACATACCTGCTGAAATTGTCAAATCGTACAGAAAAAAACAAAATTATGGAAAATAAGAGTAAACTGAAAAGACAAACAAGAGAACTGATACACATACAAGATGACCTGTCAGAAAAAGATAGAGAAATAAAAAAACAAATACGCATTCGAGCAAAGGAGGAAAGGGGCAAAGAGAAACAAGTTAAAATTGGTTCATGGAAGCTATTCATTGGAACAGAAGAATGGAGATGGGATACTCAAGAGAGAAGACTAGCCAGAATAGATAGGAGTACGCCTACAAAACACTTTTAGAGTCTGAAGCAGGTATTGATGGCAGCTATATACACCAGGACCCGGCGACGAAAAGCACGAACATCAGAATTACAAACACGACTATGGAAAAACGAAAGAACAAATTTAGATCAAGCTTGATTAGAATTGGGACGTGGAATGTTAAAGGCACACATGACGAAGGGGCTTTGAAAAATTTGGTTCAGATTATGAAAAGATATAAAATAGACATTTTAGCACTACAAGAGACAAAACAAAAAGGAAAAGAGGAAATATTATTAGACAAATATATGTTTTTGAACAGGGGAGCGGAGAATAGATATTTGGGAACGGGGTTTATGATAAGTGAGCAACTAAGTCCATTTATTGCCAATTTTGAAGCAGTATCGGAAAGAATATGTGGAATTAGGTTACCAGGGAAATATAGAAAAATTTCAATAATAAATATTCACTCTCCAACTGAAAATAAAGAAATAGATGTTAAAAGTGAGTTGTATGAAGAAAGTTAATCAGTCATTAGGAAAGATCCCAAAATTTGATGTTAAACTGGTGGTGGGAGATATGAATGCCATGATAGGAAGAGAGCAACAATATATACACATTACGGGGGGCAAAAACAAACATGGAGTAATTAATGAAAATGGATAAATACTTATTAACTTTGCAGAGGAAAATAACATGAAAGTGAAAAGTACAAGCTTTGATCATAAGTCCATTCATAAGGAAACATGGTTATCACCGGACGGAAGAACGAATTCAGATAGATCACGTGCTGATAGAAAAAATTCATGAGAAAGATATAAAAGACGTGAGGAGTTTCAGGGGAGCAGATGCTGATACCGATCACTTCCTTGTAGCAAAAAGCTCTATCAACAAATGCAATCGCTGAAGACAACGAGCAACAAAGAAAGATCAAAATACAATATTGGTCATTTGCAAGAAGAGGGTGCGGCCGGAGCACTGCAAGCGAATATAAGCAGAAGACTTCAAGGAAGTCAAGTAACAGAGGAGATAGACGAAGAATGCAAGCAAATACAATGGGCTATAACAGAAGGTATGGAAGAATGCTTAGGGAAAACTCACAAAATAACAAAAAATGAGCGGTGGTAGTAGCTACAAAGAAAGAATAAAGGAAGCAAAAAAAAATATGCAGGCGGGAAAAGAGAAAGTACATGGGCAGCTACCTTGAAAAAATTGAAGACCACTTTGTCAATAAGGAACTCAGAAGCTTCTACCAGGAGATCAAAAGATCTCAAAGGAAAGTAAGTAGAGTTCAAAACTACTGCAGAAATAAGGAAGGCCAACTACTGAATAATCAGCAATAACGACTAGAAATATGGGCAGAGTATGTTATTTTGACGAATTGCCGAATAACAACGACTCTCAAAGTAAAAGTGGGGAGAGCTGGGATCCGAAAGAGGCAGAATATACAATGATAGATGCACCTACGAAAGATGAAATAGTGAGCGAAATAATGAAGATGAAGAATAAGTGGAGGGGGAAATGGGATCACTGCGGAAATACCTAAAAAGGAGGAGAAGAATTGCAAAAAAGAATATGTAATTTGGGGACCTCGGTTGGCCGCGTGGGTCAGAGTGTCGTGCTACTGATCAGCCGGCCGGCCGGGCCGCGAGTTCGAATCTCGCCTTCGCCATGGATGTTGTGACGTCGTGTGTTTGTCCATAATTAGATATAAACAATTACCAACCTAGTTTCTGGCTGCCTGGCTTAGTCCTAAAGCCAAAAAAAAATATGTAATTTAATAGAAAGTATCTGGCATAGAGAAATACTTCCTGAGGGTTGGTCCAGGGCCATTATTTGCCCCATATATAAAAACGGAGATCCGACGCCATGCAAAAACTACTTACTGGATGTAGCGTATATGGTGCTTGCTAGAATAATAAGAAACACGCTGAAGTGGTTCCATGGAATACCAAGGTGGTTTTAGAGAGGGGCGAGATACATCAGATCATATATTTACTTTAAAGATGATTCAAAATAAAAGTTAAGAAGAATAAGAAAGAAGCTTACCTTTGTTGATTTGTCGAAAAAAATAGCCCAAATATATACCACACACGTTTTTTATTCCTTGGCCTGTCTTTCCAGAATTGTTCTTCTTCTTATTATATCTTAACAACGTACCTGATTTTTTACAGCCTATCGCCCCTGGTGTTTCTGGTCTCCGGTGATTTAGGAAAATGTATCAATATTTCTAGAGTAGAAAACAGTAACAAAAGAGTGGATGCAAACCTAGGTCCTGGAAATTTCAATTAGCAAGATACGAGGTGCTCTAAATTTCTGCCCAATGAATGAGGGCAAAACAAGAATATTGCTTAAATGTCACTATGGTGAGAGTATTAATCTCCTAATACACCACATATGTACATGTTCAATGTCAATTTTCAGCATACTTTTAAAGTAGAACAGGTTGTATATTTTTATACAGTTTTTACCTCAAATATTTTTAGTAATTTTTCTCTAAAAGTAGTAGTGCGAGAGTATATTCATATAAAATTGAATACCTTATTTAAAAATTCAATAGATGCTTCAAAAAGAAGAAGATATTTTTCTTTTTTCTTCTTTAGGTGTCAGTTTCTACGCCACTGGTATAGTCTCAGAAGCGAAACCTGTATTTTGGTAATGGGGCATTTTAGTATGTGCATGGAGACTTTAGAAATACCTCCATGTTTCACTGAACCACGTTGTACTATATATTTTCACTCGAATAGCTTAGGATTTGGGGCCCTTTAGTCGCCCAGTGTACAGAAAGTGTGGATAGAGGTAAAATATACTCCAAATCACATTCTCTTGTCCTGTTGCAAATGATAACACATAACTAAGTGGCAAACCAAGTTACAGGACTGGGGTAGACTTCGTCGAATTGACATCAAGAGCTTGGAATTGAGATTCTAACTGATATCCATGGCTAAGTAGCAACTATTAAGGGACTGAATATTAATATCCTTGCAAAAAGACAAATGATTAACGTCAAGTTCAGCTCGCTCGCAGATGCCGCTAATGTTTGGTAGAGTAGGTAGTAAACACATTCCCTTTTTTATTGGTACGTGGAGCGTTAAATTGGTTGTTTTTATAAAATAAATCGCACTCTAATCCTCTGGGGAATTACATTTTATAGTGAGATTTGGTAAAGGAAAACAGATAAGATTTATGGCTCAATTTACAGCAGCACTTCACGAAAATATTGTGCCTGCTACGAAAGGATAACGTTTAAAAATGGCTTCTATTAATTAATGGCAACGTTAAACCCACGTCAGTGGCTGGAACATAATGTCTCTTTGCCTGAACACTTTTAAGGTGCTTTTTTATTGTTATACAGAATGTTTTCAAGGTTGATACATGCCTTCTAAAGTAGAAAGTATTTAGGCGACTCTTTGAGGGAGATTGTTGATAGTTGATGAGAATAAATAGTTTTCATAGTTTTCGGATACGTTGTTGAAATTTAATATAAAAGTTGCGTGTGAAGTACCTACTAAAGAAATTCTTTTTAGAATTTTGCAAAATGTTCATTATGGGGTACGTTGTATAGCACCTAGCGTTTCTGTGCTGACAGCACGTGCCGTCCACGTCCATAGCGTTCACCGTTACCTTCACCATGGCAGACTACTAAACTGGAAGTTTATGGTGAATTATAACAGTACGGGAAAATTCAAGAGATTTTTAACCATTGTGTTGTATGTTGCACATAGAAAATACAGAGTTTGTATCATAGTAAACAGGCTAAAAATATTTTTTACGCTCTTCAGCGGAGTTAGAACTAATGATGCTGGCGAAGCTTGAAGTTTGAAGAACTGCTAGATGGAATCTAGAATCATATCTTGCTAGCTTTTACAAGCTATTGAGGAATATAACTATATATACCACCATATTATAGCGGTTTGGCGGAATCGATTTCCCAATTTTTCTAATTATCCTTAAATGGTCTTCCAAATGCCTTCATAGAGACAATTTAACTCTAGATTTGATATCAGTAACTCAAATAACCCTTCTGTATTGAATATCGTATCGCTTAAATTCAGCCAGATCTGTGCGGCAGGCATAAGTATTATGACAATAAGCTTACTATTTTTTGGCGAAAATACATACTCGTATAACTAAAATCAGTTGACCTAAACAAGGTCCTATATTTTAAGTTTGATATTTTTCATAAAAAATTATGCAATGATGAAATTTTCTATATAATAATACTGATAATAACGTTTATTAGACGATATAAAAACCTATGTTTTATATTTCAGTGGTATATTCTTCAATTCCAAAGAAGACTCCGAAAAAAAACCTAATTTCAATTACGACTATTTTGAGAAGTCCGTAACTTAACAGATAAACATCACACGAAAAAGAATGTTTTATTTTTCAGATCCGTCCAAATATAAATGAGCTTTAAATCTTTACTTTTTATCGTTGTCCGCTTCTCTATTCTTTTTTAAAATCTTACTGAAACAGAATTATTTATGTATCTATTTTTTCCAGAAATACCACCACCTCACCAACACGATGCCGCACTGATACTCGCCAGCGATGTCTCTGTTTTACTCTAGCGACCCGGCGTCGAGTACCGCGCTCTGCGTGAACGGCACCACCATCGACTGTTCACCATGCATTTGGAACCAATCAAGTCTAGCATCAACGGTGGTGCACCAATCAGATGAGGACCCACGCATTGAAGCATTGAGGAGGTATGCATATGGTGTCGCTTTGCCTGCCATCTGCTTCCTGGGAATCATCGGGAACGTCTTCAATTTGGTTGTGCTCACCAGGAGAAATATGAGAGGGACCGCCTACATCTATATGAGAGGTGAGAGTTTCTGGAATTATGTATCTTCCTAGGTTTAAGAAATTGCTCCCTTCTATTCGTCATTGTCCATCAGAGCGGTCCGTGGGACCCATTGCTCTTTGTTAAAGTATCGTAGGTCAGTAGGCCTGTCAGGTCTGGTTGGCCAGACACCAGACGAAGTCAGGGAGAAAGAAAGGAAGAAGAAAGAAAGGATGGGAAAAGAGCAAAGGGGGTGAAGTGCGCCAGTTAAAGGGATGCCTTGCTATTGTTAACTGGTATTCGGTTATTTTAAATGGATCCAAAAATTAATTTAGAAATTTGTGTGTGGCAAAAGTCGTAATTTTGGTTGGACCTAGAATTGCACGACTTGATTTTGATCACAGTGCGAGCCGCGGTCTTGTGTGCTTGCGAACTTGCTCGACTGTGTAGTCTACTGACTCACGCACTAGAGAGTTGTGCGATTCTGCTTGACTATAAGGTAACTGCGCCTGATGTTTGATGTAGTCCCTTAGGTGAGGGATGTCGAGTTATTTGTGAAGGGTCTCGTTGGAGACATACCATGGTGCGTTAGTGATGGTTCGCAAAGTTCTGTTCTGCAAAACCTGCTGATTAAGCATACGCGTTTTGGCAAGAAAACACCATGCTGCACACGCGTAAGTAAGATTGCTGGTCTGATAACCATCTTGTATAGCCGAACTTTTTTGACCACACTTAATTTTGAGGTTCTACATAGCATAGGGTAGAGTTGCCGAAACGTAATTTGGAATTTAGTTTTTAACGCTTCAGTGTTATTCTGCCAGGTCATCTCCCTCCCTGTCAAGAGTGATACCCAGATACTTAGCAGAATTTCCTCCATTCACTGAAACCTCACGCGGGGCACCGCTACGTTTTTTAGTACAATAGATTCCCGAAACGCCACTGGGCTACCAGTGCAGTGTCATTAGCATATAGATAGACTTCACAGTCGCTAGGGTAATGGACATCATGCGTAAAGGATTGGCCCTAGAACTGAACCCTGAGGGACGCCGGCTCTGATGGGCCGTACTGACGACAAGACATTTTGAATTTTGATCCGAAATTTCCTACCTTCAAGGAGGGATTTCAAAAGTTTTAGGAGCCAAAATGGAAAGCCCTTTTAAATTAGTTTATAGAGAAGGCCCTTGTGCCACACCTTGTCAAATGCCTTCGAGACATCCAGAAGCAAGATACTAGAACTTTAGTTAAGGATGAAGCCTCTGGTTATTCTCTCCACAAGCCTAACCGCCTGTAACTCCGAACTATGCACGACTATGCCCAGATCGAAATCCAAATTGCACGTCAGAAATCACATGGTGATCTGATGAGAAATTCTCAAGGTGACGTAGAATCACCTTTTCAGCGAGCTTAGACGGAGCAGACAGTAGGCTAATGGTACGATAGTCCTGGGAAAATATCGAACCTACCTTCTTTGGAATCATTATAACTTGCGTAGTCTTCCACGCCGATGGAAAGTACTGGGCCCTTAGCATGACATTGATAATAGCCACGAGATAAATCAAGGACTTCCGTGAAATCAGCTTCAGCACCTTATTAGTGATTTGATCCTCTCCAGGCGCTTTACGCACATTGAGGTCTTAAATATGACCTTGAAGCTGCTGATGTGCTGTGCAACTCTTCAGCTGAAGAATCTGAGGAAGAATCACTAATAGCGTTGGCCCCAAAGTATCTCCTGACGGATCTGTCGAGATCATAGTTGGGAGAGAACTGTCGTTCCATAGTATCAGCGAAAACCTCGACCTTGTTCTCTGACTGAAGACTATGCCCCCAAGACCGTGGATGTGCGGGAGTTGTTCTCGCTTTCCGTTTCTGAGCAATTTTGCCACTTTCCAGAGAGGAGTACTTTAGTCAAGCATCCCCGCCAGAAAGTCGTTCTATTGCTCATTGCGGAATTCATGAAGAGCATTTTTCACTTCAAGAACAAGATTCGTCGCTCTGCGAATGTCATCAGGATGAGAAACTGCTTCCTTTTGTGGGTGAAGTGGTCCAGGCGAGTAGTACAAAGATTCACGCTCATTGAGGCGAAGGGAAGCGACTTGAGCCCACGACAATGTCACTCGAAAATGCTTCACATACGATTGCGCACTGTATAAGGGATAATTGACAATACGTCAGATTTTCGCTCGTGAAAGTTTTCAAGTCTTTCAATAGAAAATCCGATTTAAAAACATGAAGATAGACTCTGGAGGTCAAAGTAACGATCCGCTAGCGTCTCCGATGATGAATGGACCAAGCCAGAAGGAAAGAACAGAAATGACCATAAAATCAAAGAAATTGATGACACCAGCTGTAGCAGACGAATAGGACAGAACCATCCAGCGCCTGACCCTGATCATCGAAAGCCAGGCCCAGCAAATAAAGGAACTGACTGAGACAGTTAGGGACAAAAACAGTAAAATAGACTGCCTGACCACCCAGGTAACACAGTTAATCAATAATCCAAATTTTAATTTAATGCTGTCAATTTTAAAAGACCTCTTGAAAATTTAACTGACATGACATCGACCGACGATGAAGTACAGTATGACGGATTCATCCAGGCCAAGTCTAGGAAAAGACGCATCGACAAAACGAACAAAACCGACAAGACGGATGACTTCCCACCTCTTCCAAAAGCAAAATCCAAATTCAAGTTGACAGTCCCCTCAAAATCGTCTGCTTCATTAAACGTATCAAATTCTTCTGTCACTTGTCCTGTGACGGTAGATGCAGCGACTACATCTTCTTAATCTTTGGCCACTGCATCAACTGACGGTGCATTATCTCAACAATCTCACCTTGCTGGTGAGTTGACCAGCACAGCACCCCGCCAGGGGCGAATCACGCCCATTGTTTTGCATAATGCGGCCAAGTGGCGAAATCTAAACTACACCTTTATAAGCTTAGACATTAAGATAGAATGCGCAGTTGCCGCTGATGCGGGAATCAAGATTTTGCCGAAAACTGAGGATGACTACCGCAGAATCGTTCGCCTGTTCAGGGAGGAGGACGTAGCCCATCATACGTTCAATCTTCCTTCAGAAATAAATATTCACGCGGTAGTCAGAGGTATACCCGCAACGTTTTCGGAACAGGAGATCAAAGGGGAATTAGAACAGAGGGGATATACTCCTCTCCACATTATCCGACTCAAACGCAGTGACGGCGCACCCATGCCTTTGGTGGTCCAAGATTGAAAAGTCCCAGCAGCTGTTCAGTGAACATGAGCTGCTGGGTCTAGCAATCGAAGTTGAAGTTCAAAAGAACTCTAGACTTATTGGGCAGTGTCACCGCTGCCAAAGGTATAGTCATGCGCAGTCTTACTGCACAGCACCTCCCAAATGGAGCGAAGGTGCATCTTGCTATCAGTCCCACTTGCAGATTCACTCCCAGGCGAAATCTTCAACCCAGTTTGAACACGCAAAATGTGGACCTAGCAACTGTGCTTAGGTCCCTTGAACAAAGAATAGGTCCCTTGATTACCGCCACTCAGGCATTGCAGGCGATCTTTCCGCAGCCATTGAATGGCTAAGTACAATAGACAACCTGCATTTATCATAATTCCTTTTTTGATTTGTCTGGGCCTAGGGATATTCCCAAAAAACGGGAATTTCGTCAAACTCTATTGGTTGAGAGTATAGACGTAGCTCTGCTGCAGGAAACATTACTTAATCCGGGAGATCGCTTAGCTTTCTCGAATTATGATGTTATACGCGCTGACAGATTGAATGGCAGGGGTGGTGGCTTGGCAGTGCTCGTTAAACGTGGTATTGACTATCACAGAAGCACAAACGCCGAGATGCAAATCATTGAAGCGGCGTCGGTGGTAGTCAATATGGTGGGATGCATTCCGTTGAAGATTACCTCGGTGTATGTCAGGTGCGGTGCCAGGCTGCGAGAGGAGGACTTGGAAGTCCTTCTGGGCTGTTCGGACCCTCTTATTGCGGCAGGGAAGTACAACTGCAAACACCGATCATGGCACTCAAGGCTTAACTCTACTTGTGGGGTTCGGCTTTACAACCATGTGATGCGAAACGGGTATCTTATTCACAGCACCGAAGAGCCGACACACCATCCTTTCAATCACCTTCGGGCACCGGATGTTACAGACTTTAAGATATCTAGAAACTGTAGGTTCAGTATTGCTTCTAGGATCTTGTACGACATCTCTAGTGACCATCGACCTGTTGTTCTCGAGGTAGGTAATGGGTATTTCGTGGAGGAGGAAACTCCTCCAAGGAAAAGAGTTGATTGGGAACTATACAAGTCATTTCTCAAAGAGTTTCAAAGCGTCCCGGTCATACATGATGAGAACGGAATTGATGCTGCTCAATCGGAGTGGACAAGTTTCGTTCACCAAAGTCTACAGCGTGCTGCTGTGCTTCCGGTGCAGCGACACCGCAGACCTTTTCTTCCTGCTGACATTCGTCGGAAAATTCCTGAGAAGAGGGCTGCGATTAAGCAAGCAAAAAGGTCTTGTCATCCTGATGACATTCGTAGAGCGACGAATCTCGTCCATGAAGTGAGAAATGAACTCCATGAATTGCGTAATGAGTAGTGGAGCGGCTTTCTGGTGGGGATGCTTGAATCAAGTATTTCTCTCTGGAAAGTGGCAAAATCGCTCAGAAACGGAAAGCAAGAACAACTACCACATATTCATGGTCCTGGAGGCATAGTTTTCAGGACTGAGGATAAAGTGGAGGTTTTTGCTGACGTCATGGAAAGGCAATTTTCTCCCAATTATGAACTGGACAATGACCTTGACGAGGAACGACAAATTGTAAGATCTGTCAGGAGATACTTCAGAGCGAATGGCGATACCAACATCGATGCTAACATCGGTGACCCCTTTTCAGAAGATTCTTCTACGGAAGACTCTTCAGATGAATCTCAGCATAGCACACCAAGGGAATCCTCTGTAATTCCGTTTTGCACACCTGCAGAGCTTCAAGGCCACATTAAGGACCTAAAGGTGCGTAAAGCACCTGGAGAGGATCAAATCACCAACAGAGCACTGAAATTGCTTTCGCTCAAGGCTTTGTCTTATCTGGTGGCAATAATTAATGCAATGCTTAGAACTCATTACTTTCCTAAGGCGTGGAAGGTCGCTGAAGTCATCATGATCCCAAAGAAGGCAGGTTCGATATTCCCCCAGGATTACCCTCCCATTAGTCTGCTGTCAGCTCCTTCTAAGCTCGCTGAAAAGGTGATTTATCGTCACCTTGAGAACTTCTCGTCAGATCACCATGTGCTTCCTGACGTGCAATTCGGCTTTCGATCTGAGCATAGTACGAAGCTACAGGCAGTTAGACTGGTGGACCATTTAACCAGGGGGTTCATCCTGAACAAAACTACTGGTATCTTGCTTTTACATGTATCAAAGGCATTTGACAAGGTGTGGCACATGGGCCACTTGTATAAGCTCATCCAAAAGGGTTTTCCATTTTGGCTACTAAAACTGTTGTTGTGCAGAAATTCAAAATTAAGTTTGATCAACAAGATTACTAACGTCCCCTGGTATGTGTCAAATGAGACCATTCACAGAAATCTTGATATTCCATATCTAAGGCATTATGTAAAACAACAGGCGCAGCGGTGTTAGAATCAAGCGGAATCACACAGCAACCCTCTGTTGCATGATTCAGTAGACTACACAGTCGATCATGTTCGCAAACATTCCAGGCCGCGCATTGCACTGTTATCAAAATTAAATTTTAAATTCAGACCACCCAAAATTATTTCAGTATACAAAACCGATCAAAATTATTTTTTCTATTTCAAATTATTTACTTTTTTTGTTTGCTCTATTTCTTCCTTCCTTTCTTTCCTTCCTTTCTTTCCTTCTTTCTCTTTTCTCCTTAAACATGTTTGGTGTCTGGGTCGCCAGACCTGACTAACAGACCGACGATACTTTTAGCTAAGAGCAAAGCTCCACCGGACCGCCCTGATGAATAATGACGAATAGTAAAATAGTACGACTGCCCCTTTCTAACTTCATTATCGAACATTGTTGATTGACATTTTCGCGGAACACAAACCGCATCCCTTGTCCTCATTCGTCGTGCACTCTAAGTAATACAAATATACAGAGTGTATAAAGTGAAATCAATTTTCGACCAGGTACTTCCTCAGGTGTTTTACTTCCTACCCCACTGGCGAGGAAATACTGTAATCGCGAAAAATTTCGAAAATGAGATGTTACGTTTTTCGGATGTTATATGCCAACTAGATTACGAAAAACCATATCACTCATTTTCGTTGGTCTGTTGATCTGCCTGTCGGTCTGTCTGTCAGTTTTTTGGTGCCAGTAGTTTATATGTTTTATTTATTTATTAAATACATTTCATACATCATAGACTTCCCCATACATTTGCCCTCAATACTTTAATTATAGAGATATGTTTTTGATAATACGCTTGCCGGGCAACTGTGCTGGGTTCCCACGTTGCTGGTAAGTCGGTACTGTCAGTAGGGTGGTAGATCGCAATGTTGTAAAATCTGTGGGAATTATGGACTACTTGTATGAAACTTTGACTGAGCTGATCGATTTAATTCCCTTGTGTTTGTAGCCAACTTTTTTGAAGAATAAGACACTTTTTAACGTATATAGCCCAAGAATCCGGAAAAATTAAATATACATATCACACTGGGACAAAAACAAATTTCTTTTGTATTTCTCATTAACTTGAGGTTAAACAATTTTGAAAACCTGAGGTCATGGTATAAATGATGTGAAGAACTCGGCTAAAGTATTTTCAAAATGACGGCACTTCTGTTTTTACCGAAAGCACTTACCAACTTGCTTATTTTAAATAAAACACCCTCTATAATAATCAATTTATGAGATTTACGAGGGGTTCTATATACATTTTATGTATAACATCCCATATATAGCTCTAACCGTTTTTTTAGAAATATCTATGTTGATGCCTTGAGAATTAATAATATTAGGTCGTCAACAAAATCGGATAAAAACTAAATTGTAACAAATGCACGTCTTTTTGCGTGGAAACCCCATGTTTTTATAATCTCATCACCTTGAGCAATAGAAATAAAAAATAAGGATAGTATTATAAACGACTATCTACTTCGTAAATTAGTAGTTTAGGAAATATTTGCTAATACCCGATTTTATCCCTCCATACAGCTTTTTTCCTGGACAGTACTGCATGGCTGGCCATGGCACGGTGAAAATATTTTTTTCATATGTGGTGCAAGTATTGTACATAAAAAATAGAAAAATAAAGAACCATTTCGTATTCACGCACCTTGGCTGCCCGCGCGGTATTCACTGCAACGCCAGGGTTTTGTCGACTAATTAGGTGATCGCGTGTACGCTCAACTGATTTCTAAACACATGGATTGATAAGATAAGAGATGCAGTGCTGCATAGGTTGCACTTAAAAACGCATACATTAAGACTAATATTTAATCATTTACAGCGCCATGGCCAACCATGCTAATCTGACCATAAAAAACCGTTCGCAGCGATAGAACGATAATAACTTCCTTAATTACTAAATAGCAAAGTAGATGACCTTATAGAAAAAACACTAATTAGCAGAGTAGTAGTAGTAATCATAATAGCAAAATCTCCCCAAAATCATTGTTAATTTTGGTTTTATTGATGTAAGTTGTTCAAGAGCGTATTTAAAACATAGATGCATAAAATGGGTATACCAATTTCTGTATGAAAAATTTTTATTCGACAACAAAGAATGAGAATACGTATTTTTTGGGATTCAAACGAAAGTGTTAGCAGAAACGAAAAAATTCTTCACATAATATTTTTAGGTATATTTATGAGACCTACATAATGAGGCCACTCACAAAAAGATCCGACTTATAGCAAAAAATGTATGGCTAAAATCCTATTCAAAATGCAGGTTTTGGCACTTGGTAGTGCGACGATAGCATCACGCAAACACTTGAAATTCCTCAAATTCACAGGCGCACTTATAAATAACCATAACAAAATTGTAGTCGATCGATATTCGAAAAACATTCGTGATTATACACAAAAAACAAAGAGGGTGTCTATCACATTTTGTTGCAAAGAAAAAAACATCAAGATTTCTTGTGTAAATAGGGTGTCTGCGAAAGGTTGAGAAATCTCGGAACTGGAAATACTACAGACCAAAATATGTGAATTGACCTAAGCATACCTTAGTCGAAAAGTTGATAGCTTGCGAGATACAGGGTGTCAAAGTTACAATTTTATTTTCTATTTTTCCTTATTGCTTGAGAAGTATTTCAGATTTTGGCAAAAACTCGGTATAGGAAGGTTTTCTAGTATGAGAAACAAGAATCCGTTATTCTTTACGGCCAAACTTCTAGAGGGCGCCACTTACAGCACTATTTCGGTAAATAACTTATCATAATTTTTTTGTGCTACCCTGTATACAACGACTGACCGAACAATCTAAATTTCTCGTATTATCACAACAAAAAAGTTTTACTTATTTGAAGTGTCTAAAGCTAATAGTTTTCGAGATACTTGTTTTTAAGTTCCAATGCATTATTTGTTCCAAGGTGATAAAACATTTTTATAACATAACAATCAAGTTGCTTTGGATAATATCTGAGTAGCGTTGCTACGGTTTTTAACAATAACAAATGAGGATGGCAACAAAACTAATAAACGGAAATAATAACTACAAAAATTGTTCAAAATGAGCACTACCTTGCCTAACACACTCTCGAGCTCGACGAATTAATCCTTGCTGCACTCTCCAAAGCATTTGGATAATATTTTCCATTTCCTGGCTATGGTGGAAAGTTCTTTGTCGGAGATCATCTACAGTTTCCACTGGAGTATTGTAAACGCGTCGTTTTAAATCACCTCGGAAGAAGAAATCCATAGGATGTAAATCTGGTGATCTAGCTGCTTTGTGCAAGATTTGGACAAGACTGGAAAAATAACATCCCGCTATCGTCATTTTTGTTTTTTAATCATGCCTTAAAGCCCATGACCGAACCAGACGCTGAAATTACAGAGTACCAGGAAGAAATTTTTTTCGTGTAGTATTATTAACATTATTATTCACGTTTGTATGTTTCAAAGAAATTATATTAAAAAAAAAGAATATGTTCTTGATACTAGTTGGTATCTTCAAAATAGCTGTAAGACGAATGTTACTACCAAATGTTTTCTGTCAAACCAATAAATTTCAACAAATATCATTTTGTCCAATTTTGACCGCAACAAAACGAATTTTATGCGTTGTAACTAAACAAAACGCATGAAATCCGAAAATTTTTTAGATTTTTCCACTTTTTCTGATAAATTTTGATTCAACTGAGATAACTTATTACGTCTATGTATTAGTTTCTATCAAAATAACTCACTGTCCTAAAAATAAATGACAAGGTTTAGTAGAAAATCATTTTTCGTTAATATCCGAAAAAACATTTTTTGGAAAAAATGCGTTTTGAAAAGTCGCTTCTCAATTATTCTATCGTCAACATTCCGAGTTATGAGTCACCCGTCGACTACTGATGCACCGCTATAATTTTTTCCATCTGGTACTCTGATGATACACATGCATAAATTATTAAATATTATTATATCTAATAGGTGCGTAATATTAACGGTATTGCCAGTGGCGTAGGAAGTAAAAAAACTAGTAAGTATCAAAATATTGCCTTTAGGAAATAGATAGTTTCACTTTTATCAACATGAGAGAATTATAAAAAAATTCTTCAAGAGTTTAATATAAAATTTCGCACCAGATGTGTCATGATAAGTTCTTAGCGTGACGACGTGACGTCATATGTTTCTCCAAACTCCTTGTCCTATACTAGAAAAAAAAAGATGTTTCCTGGCATTGGCAATTTTATTTGAACTATATAATAACTTTCTATCCGTATCCGTAATAAAAATAACTACTCGCATTATTGGTATTGGTTGGTTTCACCGGCGCGAAATATACAGGACTTGAAAGAACTCTCTTTCGGTAAATAAATTGCAATTAACATTTTTTCAACTTAAGTGCATCAATATTAGAAAACAGATACAAAAAGTATCAGCTATCGAAAACGTAATCTTTTCAAACTGAAAAATATCTCCTTCCAGTAATAAAGTACAGGGACTCCTTTTTAAGTAAAAAAATATCCACATCCCTCTAGGAATAATAGACATCTTTAAAGTTACTTACGTCTAACAGCGGTGCAAAAACAAAGGGTACCTATCCATAGGGTCTAAGTATACAATAGCTGTGGGGAAGTAAGGCTATTAGACAGCAAAGCAAAACATGTTCAGCGGGCGGCCAAATGGATAAAACAATTTCCTCACAGCAGTTCGTCTTTCATCACGTTGGCGTTCCTCAACAGAAGGGTTCAACGAGCACCGACAAGGGGGATTAGTGAAGGTAAAGTAAATGTTACTTATTAATGCTACACTATCGTTCAAGTCATCTTTGTAACTATCATAGCCTTTGAGCCAGTATGTGATCTCTTTTTATTACTAAATATATTAGGTGTGTTCCAGCCACAGTTCAGGATGGTTCGGCCTTTACTGAGCCTCTGCAAAGTTATTTTAACCTTCAAAAATGGTGTCAAGTAGGTTGACCCTGCAACGCTGTTATCCGTCCATAAATTTCCATCCGGAAGTTGTTGTATCCAGTATACAACTTCTTCCCGTCCAAGTGATTGTGCACGCGTTAAGGAATACCTCAGTACCGATTGCCGGGTGGCGGTACAAGTCCGCCAACGGGCCACTTTAGGTCAATTTAACATCACTAACACGTAAAAAGGAGGTGGTAGACAAGGACCAGTCGACCGAGGCAGTACCACCCGCTAGCTTTTCCCAGGGTGTCTTATAAATGTCCGCATGTTTCCACACCTAAGCTATGCAGTTGGTTATCTACCAAAACAAAGAAATTAATGATGATGGATCCCTCGAGCACTAAAAACTCCGGACGTAAACTCACTCCACTCTCGGAATGTCCGGGTGGAGGGTGGGCTCGAGGAAACAACATCGAAGATAAAATTTGTTTTTCGAACATCTGCGGGATCAACAGCAACATTGATGCTGTTCATCACTACCTGCAATCCAATCGTCCCGCCGTGCTTTTCTTGGCGGAGACAAAAATCTCAGAGACTGCACCAATTAACCATCTCAACTTCCCAAACTACGAGGTGCACTCCAATCTGAGAAAGAACGGGGGAGTTGTGGCTTTTGTCCGCAGCAGTCTTTCCTGCTCCAGGGATCTTTCTTTGGAATCAGACCGCAAGGACATTCTGTGGCTTCGCCTCAACTCCAAAACATCACCCAAATTTATTTGCTGCCTTTATCGCTCTCCCTCGAACCATAACTGGAATGACCAACTCGAATACCTCGCCGTCCAGATCGACTTCCTGAACATCAATCACCCCGCTTCAGAGGTAGTTCTTCTCGGTGATTTCAATGCCCATAATGAGCTTTGGTTGGGCTCAAATAAGACCGACGCAGCAGGTCGTGCAGTCGAAGCGTTCGCTCTTACTCAAGGGCTGACCCAGCTGGTGACGAGCCCTACTTTTTCCTCCGCGTGTCGTCACACGCCAGTAGGCTGCTGGATCTCTTTCTGACCACGCATCCTGCCCCTTACAGCACTGCTGTCCTGTCCCCCCTGGGTAACTCAGATCACGGTGTTGTGGAGGTTAGGTTTCGGTCAGAAGCCGCTGTGGCAGCAGAAACTCGCACAGGCCGCAAAGCTTGGCATTACGGACATGCCGACTGGGAGGGGCTCAGAGACTTCTTCTCTAGCTTTCCTTGGAGAGATGTCTGTTTCACTGACATGAATGCGTCGACTGTCTGTTCTTCAATAACCGAAATTATCAACGTCGGAATGGAGGAATACATCCCTCACATAGTGAAAGTTCCTAAACCAGGGTCCAACGGCTGGTTCAACAAATCGTGTGACTCTGCTCGCAAGCAGAAGATCAAGGCCCACAGAACCTACTTACAAAACCCCACTGTAGAGAACAGACAAGCCGACGTCGAGTCCAGAAACAAATATAACGAAGCGGTTCGCAATTCCAAAAACCAGCATGATTTAAAAGTTAGGCACAGGGTAATGTCGCAGCGCAATGGCAGTCGGTGTTTCTGGACGCTGGCCAAGCAGATTGAAAAGAACTTCTCACACAGTAGCCTTCCACCACTTACGTGTCAGGATGGAACTATTGTATTCGACTCAAAGGCCAAGGCGGAAGTGCTAGCCAAGATCTTTGCTGCCAACTCCACCATGGACGTCCCCACCAACGCCCAAGTGCCGTCAATTCAAAGGGTTCCCTACACTATGCGGGAGTTAACATTCAGGCATAAGACCGTAAGACGAGTGCTCTTGTCGCTCGACATCAACAA